CCCACCCAACCACTGGCTGCTCCCCTCAGAGCAGACTGTACAGATGATACACTCCCAGGGCTGCTGCTGTCCCTCCAGCCTGGACTCCTGGGGCAGATATCTGAAGGGAGCCTTGAGAATCACCTTCACCCTTTCAACAGAGGTGATGAGCAGCTTTGTGCTTCCCAGTGAGAAAATTAGTGTTATTCAGATTGTCAGTAATTAGTACCCAACTCTAGCAACATATGAACGATGGAAAGGAAAGGAGGCCAACAGAATGTGGTCTAGTCTAGTGGTTCCATGTGAGACTTGGTGTCAGCAGTCTTGGGCTGATTCCCGGCAGTCTCACTGACTCACGTTGGGCAGGTCACATTGTGTTTGCTGGATGCTTTTTGGATCAGAAATGTGGTTGTGGTTCACTTGGCCTCACATCAGGAGTGTGAGTTGTTAATGGGGCACTTCAACTGCACATTCAGGGTAAAATATTGTCCACACAGCAGGTGAGTAACTGTCTTTAAAAAAGACTATCAGATGTCTGTTAGCTGCAAGGCAGAGGAATTTATAAAAGGGCTGGAGGTGAGAAATGTACCTTGCACAGCACAGTTATAGCATACTTCAAAAGTAGAATGCATAGCTTCAAGTAGATTCGTGAAGTTTTTTCAGATTCATTGAAAAACTTCTAGAATCTATGGAGATAGATGCTCTTCACCCTGGGCAGAATGATTTCCCTCTTCGTGGCTGGATCAATTTGGTCCTCTGAGAAGCAAACACTAAGCTGGGATTAAAAGGTAAAGAGACATATTAGAGAATATATCTGTGAAGGACTTGGGAAAAGGAGCCTGAATAGCTGGGAACAGTATATACCCATTAGGCACAGTAGACACGGTGCCTTAGAAGCCATGCTATTTTAGGGGTCCACAACAATGTGTTAATTTTGATTATTTTAAAACCAGACCAGAAAATGAACATGGTGATCACAAATACAATAACAAATCCAGCCTAGGTTACATTCATCTTTATACTAATGCAAACACAGACTACAATTTTTAGTATAGTTACGGAGGAAGAGAAAGTGCCCAGGCCCCAAAAAGTCATAATGTGGTCCTGGTTTTGGCAAACCTTCAGCACCAGATGCAAATCCTGAGAAAGAGGAGAGGCCAGGCTGAGAAGTTTCTGAGAAACCCCTAGAAGGGGCTTTAGTCCCCTTGTGGCCTGAGAGCAGCCCAGACTGATGGGCCTTGGTACAAACACTGTTGTGGATCCAAAGGGGAGGCAACTGGAGACTGACAGGCAATTATGTCACTACAGAAAGTTTTCTTGATGGAAATTAAGTGGCCCACTTTCATGTCCACCCCAAATGCGGAATCAAGGAAACAAAGTTTTTATAGCTCATTCTCCTCTACTCAGTTCTCCTGGAGGCATATCTTGCAAAGGGATTCTATCTTACTGGTAAACATATTCAAAAGGCAAGGAAGCCAGGCACGGTAATGCACATCTGTAATCCCAGCAGCTCAGGAGGCTGAGGCAGGAGAATCACAAATTCAAAGCCAGACTCAGCAAAAGCAAAGCACTAAGCAATTCAGTGAGAACCTGTCTCTAAATAAAACACAAAATAGGGCTGAGGATGTGGCTTAATGGTCAAGTGCCCCTGAGTTCAATCCCCAAAAAGGCAATGAAGATCTCACCTCTGCACTGGATCATCACATGAGATCTTAGGCAATGGAGTCATATTAAAGAGGCTAGTTGGTAACATGCATTCTCCATTACTAAAATGTTCCAGTTGAGGCTAGCTGGCCTCCAGAACTGCTTTAGAGATCATTTGAGTTTGGGTTAAAAAGGAGTGTCCTCCCTTCCATATCAGAAGTTCATTGATTCTACCTAGTCTGGCACTCTGATTCTTCCTTTAAAATTCCTCCCCAGAGGTAGCCAAGTGGACTCCAGTAGCCATGTCCAGTCTAAAGATATGTTTATTTGGTATGCATAAGTTTAAAAAATTATGGTAGGAGGTTTTGTTATAGGGTAAATTGTGCTGCCCCAAAATGCCTAATACTTCTGAATATGACTTTATTTGGAAATAGGGTCATTGCATATGTAATTAAAGAATATGAGGTCATGCTGAAGAAGGGTGAGGCCCTAGTCCAATATGACTAGTGTTCTTAGGAAAAGAACAACTTTGGACGTAGGGGGAGATACACAGACAGGGAGAACAGTCTTTGTAAAGACAGAGAGTCACAAGCCAAGGAATGCCAAAGGTTATTAGTAAACCACAGAAGTAGGAGAGAGACCTAGGACAGATTCTTCCCTCAGATGCAACCACCCCTGCTGTCACCCTGATCTCCAACTTCCAGCCTCCAGGACTGTGAGACAATAACTTTTCTTAGTCTAAGTCACCCGGTATTGCCGTATTTTGTTTTGCCAGTCCTAGCAAACACAGGGGACATATTTAAAACTTGATTGGTTTACCACACAAAACTGGATTTTGAGCTTCTGTGAGAAAGTCTAGGCCTAGAGGCATCAGAACACAGGTCCATGCAAGGGGCAGGCTCCTTACTGACATCTGATTATTGCTACTTGAGAATACAGGCCTAGCCCTATCCAGTGATCTGATTTTTTTCCAGAGAAGCTTTTCTGTTTCTTGTTGCTGAGGAAATATGATCTCCAATGCTGGTAACTAATTCACCAGCTTCTATTTTCTCCCTGGTTCAGTCCACTTCTGGAGTACACTTAATCTGGCTGGTTCCTCTGAGCATCTGAGTTTGTGATCTCTATTGATTCACAGTTGCATGGCTTGGCAAGATGATAAGAGAAATTACATTTACATAAGGGAGATTATGCCAGGGGTTGAACAGTTTGCCACGAGGAGAAAGTGAGCTTGGATCTGTCCATCTTTCCTCTGCTTTGTTGAGTGACAACCTTTCTCAGACTGTGTTCGTGCTCTGAATAACCATGTGTTGAGGGCTTTCCATACTGGGCAGTGTGCTAAATGCAAAGTAAATACCCAGTGTGTGAACTACATATACTGTATTGTTCCTAATATCTTTGTTCCTTTTTTGCCAAGGGAAAGGCATTCTTATTAACCAGGCACTATGTTATTAGATTAATTAATCTTATTAGATTAAAGATAGTAAGTTGTAATTGTTCTGAGCTTATAAATAGAACATTCTGCCCAAGCTATATTACATACCACTTCTCAGTCATAGCTTCAAGAAATTAATGCAAAATTGTTAATAATAGCAGCCACCCCTTATACAAAACAGACTATTGGGCAAGTGTAGTTCTATGAGTGGCAAGACTATTTCATTATAATCTGTCAGGCAATTGCAATGTGCTGTGCAAATGCTAAACAACTTTACAAATGTAATCTTATTGTATTCCTATTGTAATTTACATATGTATTCCTGTTGACCATGGGAGGGAAGTACAGTCAGCCCTCTCTATCCAGGGGTTTCATGAATTCATGAATTCAACCAAGACCAAAAATATTCAGGGAAAATAATTGCATCTTTACTAAACATTTACAGAATTTTTCTTGCTACTATTCCCTTAACAATACCCAATAACAACTATTTACATGGTATTTACAATGCACTAAGTATTATAAGCAATTGAGAGGTGGATTCAAGTGTAAGGGAGGATGAGCATAGGTTATATGCAAATACTACTCCATTTTTTTTTCTAAGGGACTTGAACATTCACAGATTTGAGTATCCTCAGGGGCTGTTAGAACCAATCCCACATAATACCAAAGAATGACTATATTTGATTCTCATTTTACAGATCAGAAAATTGAAGCCCAGACAAATTCAGAAACTTCCTCAAGATCACAGGGCTAGTAAGAAATAACACAGGAGTCAAACTCAGTTCTTTGCAATGCTGAACCAAAGCTCTCCCCATTCTGCCACACGGTTTTTCTGTTTGTGGCCTCTAGTGAAGATTAGCCTCTGCACCTGCCAGGTGGTAACACCAGGTTCTGCTGAGAATATTATCAAAAGACCAGACTTCCAAATCCTAGTCCTACCTGCAGTGCTGATTAGCCTACATGGTTCATTAATGACACACACAAATTGCTATCTAGTTGGAATACCGTTTTAGTTTCATTCAAAAAACACACAGCATAGGAAAGGTAGCAGAATACAACAATTACTAATAGGGCATTATGTAAAATTGTGGATGTGTAATCGACGTGATTCTGCAATCTGCATTTGGGGTAAAATTGGGAGTTCATAACCCACTTCAATCTAATGTATGAAATATGATATGTCAAGAGCTTTGTAACGTTGTGAACAACCAATTAAAAAAAAACACAGCGACATTTTGTATAAATTGTAAAGATGCCCAAGTGTGTCTCTCTATGCCTTCTAAGAATAGATAGTATGCTTTGTATACTTTTGAAGTCTTTATAACTCAAATAAGGCTTGGGAGGCTGTGACTTCTGAGGCATTGTTCTGTTTCTTCCCATGGGTGTGTCCATCCTGTAATATTCAAGCACTTTGCTTGCAGAAATCACATTTTTCTTTCTATATGTGTAGTACTTCAATGAAAAGTGAGGGTACTCAAATTATGTACATGTACAAATATGAAATCATGAATCCCAGTATTATGTAAAATTACAACGCACCAATGAAAAAATATTGGAAAAAAAGTGAATAAAGAAGGAAACTTTCCAATGGGGTAAGGAGAGTAAGGTTAAGCTGGGCTGGGGATGTAGCTCAATAGATGATCACTCATTTAGCATGAGAGAGGCCCTGGATTCAATTCCCAGCACCCCGGGAATAAAAAGGAAGAAAAAAGTAAGGGAAATAAAAAGAATGGTTCTCATCCGGTATTTACAGAGAACAATGAGCCCCATGTGCCTGTCTCCCAGCTGCAACATTTATCCACTCATGGCCAGACCGATTTCATCTGTGACCCCTCCACTCCCTCTCCACCACACCACTCCCCTGGATGATGTTGAAGTGAATCCCAGAATCCTACCGTTTTGTCATCAGCTCTCACCCTGTGTTCCCTATGTGATTTTTCAGGCCACTACATGTACGTGGACTCGGTTTACGTCAAGCACTTCCAGGAGGTGGCTCAGCTCATCTCCCCCATGACCACGGCCCCCATGTCTGGCTGCCTGTCCTTCTATTACCAGCTCCAGCAGGGGAATGACAACGTCTTTTCCCTTTACACTCGGGATGTGGCCGGCCTGTATGAGGAGATCTGGAAAGTGGACAATCCAGGGAACGCAGACTGGAACCTTGCAGAGGTCGAGTTCAGCGCTCCTTACCCCATGGAGGTAGGTGTGCCCTGAGCAGGTGTTGCTTTGGGGACCCACCCACACACTGGCAGGGAGGTCCACACACAACACCTGTCAGTCTTCTTTTCCTGCTGCCTCTCAATCTTTCTTTTAAGGTGGGCATGCATTGAATTTCTTTTTAAAGTTTTATTTTATTTTGCGCTGACAATCAAAAGCGAGGGTTGAGGTCTACCGACAAGATTTCCTAGGCATGTGTTCCCTCTGAACCTTGCATTATGACCATGGAAAGTTCTAAGATGGAAATAAGCAACAGCAACCAGTTCCTGAATTCCATTCCCCAAAGTAGTTTTGAAGGTTTCCCTTAACTAAGAGAATTATCTTTCTAGAAAAAAAAAAAACTGACTTAAATCCTTTCTTTGCAGCATAAATAATGTCATAAAATCAAAAACAAACTTACTATTAAAGCCCTAATTTGAAACAAATCTTGATGCATTTATCTTACAACTGTTTTTACAGTTATATAAATGATAAATGTGCAATGCAGAAGAATTACAAAATTCAAAGAAGCAAAGTAAGTTAAAATGCCCCAGGCCAATCCCACAAAAATGAAGAACACTAACATTTTGGTGTTTATCCTTGTAGACCTTTCTCTAAGCATATATATTAATATATATCCATGTATATGTTTGAGAACTTTTAAGTACTTTCAAGACTTATTATCCAACAAGATGGTAAAATTATCCCCATATTTACAGATGAAAAAAGAGAAACAGAATGTCCAAGAAAGTTGACATCTTTTTTTAGGTCACACAGCTGGTGAATGCCAGAGAGCTTAGGAAATTTCCTAGACTAAAATCTGACCCACAGCTGTAGGAGGAGGCTCAGCTCTGTCTGAGGACCCATGGGACCTGGAAGATCAGATAGCATTGTGGTTGCTATACATGAAAGATATGCTCTAAGGACCCAGAGCTGTAAGTGGAGTCTTAGGTACCACAAGTTTTTAATACCCCCTACTTCTCACTTTATGCTTTTGTAATGTCTTCCTTGGTTTCCTTTAAAGTGCAAAAGAACTAGATTATTCTTCTGGCTGCTTTTCAGTGGTGCCATCTGCTAGCCTGCTGTAGGGCTGCAGAGAATGCTGGGATTGGGTCTTGGTTTCTGATGTGATCCATCTACTGACGGCATGCCTGACACTCTCCCACCTCCTTCTTATCTTCCTCTTCTCCCCACCCCCGAATGGCCCCAGAGAGGACATAGTGGATTTGTTGTTTTCTTTTCTTTCTTTTCTTTTCTATTTTTTTTTTTTTTTTGGTAGCTTGTGGGCTATTTCCTAACCCAAAGTCTGACCAATTTGCTCTTGCAGCCCAGTGGAAAATTTTCTGTGTGTTTGGGTTTCAAGAGGAAAAGAAATGCATGTACTGCTTCAGAACATTTCTCTTCTATTAAAGTCAAGTGAGTCACACACACATGGCACACACACACTCACTCACTCATACATCCTCACAGTCTTTTCTTTACCATTTCCTCTCCTCTGACCATGAACTCTGCTCAGATAACGTTTGCATGAGTGAAATGTTGCTGAAATTTTTTAAATCAATACTTGAGAAGTTACAATGCCCAACACTACTAAATTTAAACACATCTTTGAGTCCACATGAATGTGGTTTTGTTCCACTGGTCTGAACCTATTCACTGGTATTATTTGCTCTTGCTAGTTGCCAAGAAAAGAAACTTGTCCAACAGAAATCAGAGAATTTAATGTCACCATATTCTCAAATAAATGTTAAAAAAGGAAAACAAACATTGGAAATTTTCAGAACAAGAAAAAACACATTGGCATGTGGACTGTGATGAGCATATCCTCATCAGAAACATTATCCTTAATCTACCTACTCAATGTGAACAATTTGTTTGCTTTACCAGTCAGTGCATTGAAAGCTCAATGTCATGGATTTGGGTCAATTTGTATACTTAATTTGCCCCTCTCATATATTCTTTCATTCATCTGTTTCTTCATTCATTTGTTCCTTCATTTATAGCCCCTTTCTCTGGTCAAGAGAAGCTTACAGGACTCCCCATGGACTTTGGAGAGTCTGGATCCCAGGTCCCTCTAAGACCATTGTGATTAAGCTGAAAGGGGCCTTATGAACCATCTAATCCAATCTCCTTTTTTTGCAAAATTGAAGAAATGGAGTCCAGAAAGAAAGAAAGAAAGGAAGGAAGGAAGGAAGGAAGGAAGGATCTATTCAGGCTAATTAGTGGCTAATTGAGCATGAACTTGAGTAAGTTCAAGAGGGAGTTAAGCTGAAGGAAAAGATACAAAATTAGTTCAGAGCTTCTTACATACCTGACGCTGTACTAGTATCTTTATATACATTATCTAATTTAATCTATCCTACAGTCCCTCAAGGGAGGTGTTATTTTGCCTGTTTTAATAGATGAGAAAAGCAAGACCCTGAGAGATTTACTGATGTATCTAAGTTGCCTAACTAGTGATGAAAATAAGATTTGAACTCTAATCTCTCTGCCTCCAAGGCACTATTCTCTTGCAGAAGAGACTACAAACTAAAAGTCTATGGGTCAAATTTAGCTCATAGTTATTTTTCTGGATGCTAGAGTGGTTTTTTATTGTCTTTGTCTTTTTGTTGTCGTGGTTTTGATTTGATCGTTTTCACTTTTAATTAATTGCCAGCATTCAAAATTTCAAAAATTACAAATAAAACCTAAAGGTTCAAGTCCTTCTGATAATTTGTTGGCCACAGAGACATTAGACTTGTATTTTTTGCTAGAACTACCATAAATGAGGTTACTCAAAAATGGGTGCCTACAAAACAGAAATGTAGTGTCTCACAGTCCTTGAGGCCTAAAGTCCAGTATCAAGGGGTCAGCAGAACTTTCCTTCTGAGGACCCTAAGAGAATCTGTTCCCTACTTCTTCCTTGGTGATTTGCTGGCATCCTTAGGTTTACAAGTCTCTGCTTCATCTTCACATGGCATTTTCTCTTTGTGTATGTCTCTCTCCACATCCGTATTTCCCAGGGGTTTTTTGTTTTGTTTTGTTTTGTTGTGTGCCGACGTACCAGGGATTTAACTCAGGGGCACTAGATCACTGAGCCACATCCCCAGCCCTATTTTGTGTTTTAGAGACAGGGTCTCACTGAGTTGCTTAGTGCCTCACTTTTGCTGAGGCTGGCTCTGAACTCATGATCCAGGATGCCTCAGCCTCCCGAGCTGTTGGGATTACAGGTGTGTGCCTCTGCTCCAAGCTCCATATTTCCTGTTTTTTTATAAGAATGCCAGTCATTTGGATGAAAGGCCTTCCCTACTCTAGTATGACCTCATCTTAACTAATTGCATTTGCAATGACCTTATTCCCAAATAAGGTAACATAGTAATGTGATGGGGTTAGGACTTCAACATGTGTATTGGCTGGGGGACCCAGTTCAGCCCATAGCAGCCATAACATTCCCATAGGCCAGCAACCGATAAAGCTGAGTGGCATGCCCCCTCTAGAAAGGCTTACCTTCCTGTTTTCTCAAGAGTCTATACCACAGCAAGCCCACTTGTTGTGCTTACCCTACCTGCCTAGTGCTGATAGGTGTTTAAGTTTTAAGACCTGCTCCACACTGGGTCTTCTCATGCTTTAAACTCATACAGTGAAACCTTGTGTGCACCTGGGTGGTTTTCCCCATACAGGCAAAGGCTGTGTTGACCACCCCTGATCCCCATGGTCACAGGCAGAAAGTTGATTGAGATCAGAGTTGTGGCAGGTAAAAAGCGAAACAGAAGGGATTGCACTCATTGACCCAGGTGTTTTCTAACCATTGGAACACATCTAGCCATGCTGAGATCAGGGTCCTCCTCTCTGACTGCTACTTCTTTGCCTAGGCCCTCATCTAACACTCCATGTAGGGAGAAGGGAAAGAGACTGGGAGGGCTTAGTTACCTTTGGACAGCAGGGGAGAACCTGGCCTGCTTTCTTCACTTAGCCTATTTTTTTCTTTAATCAAAGTTTACAGTGCTAATGACTTCCAGAATTCTATCAGAAATAAGGTAAGCACTTAAGCTGATATTAACAGAAGAAGGAAATCCACCAGTGAATACCAATTTAAGGTTTCTGACATAGTCTACAAGGGCTGCTATAACAAAAGGCCATAGATTGAGTAGCTTATAAACACTGGCATTTGTGTGTGTGTGTTTCTGAGGATCAAACCCAGGGCTTTGCTCATGCTAGATAAGTTCTCTACCACTGAACCATGCCCCCATTTCAGAAATATTTCTCATATTTCTGAAGCCTATGGGAAGTCCAAGACCAAGCCAATGACAGATCTGGTGTCTGGTGAAGGTCTGTTTCCTGATTCATAGTTCACGCTTTCTCACTCTGTCCTCACATGATGGAAAAGGCAATGATCTCCTTTGGGACGGTTAGAAGGGCACTAATCCCATGCATGAGGCCTCCACCTCCATGACCTAATCAATTCCCAAAAAGTCCCATCACCAAATTCCATCATATTGGGTATTAGATTTCAACATATAACTTTTTTAAAAAAATTCTTTTTTATTTTTTAACTACACGACAGCAGTGGAAAGTAGTGCAACTCTTATTACACATGTAGGGCACAATTTTTCATATCTCTGTATATAAATTATGTTCATGCCAATTTATGCCTTTATACATGTACTTTGTTGTTGTGGGGTTTTTTTTTTTTTTTTGTATTACTCAACATATAACTTTTCAGGGGAAAAAACATCCAAACTATAGCAATCAATTTCATCCTCCCTAACAGAGACTTTGAGGTTGAGTAGGGTACTGTCTAAACAATTATTTTGGGGAACATGATTACATAGGTACTTATAATTTGACCTGGTTTTATTTACATATCATTTTCCAGCAGCTTAACAGAAAATAAGTAAATAGGTGAAAGCATATAATTTTCCTTCCCAGGTTATCTTTGAGGTTGCTTTCAATGGTCCCAAAGGAGGATATGTTGCCCTGGATGATATTTCTTTCTCTCCTGTGAGCTGCCAAAATCAGACAGGTGAGTGTTCTCTTTTTCTTCTTTTCCCAATTTGGAATTGTCTTTTTTCAATAGATGCCTGTGGTCAGGCCTTGCTTTAAATTATCTTTTATTTCCTCATTCTCATCCTTTAGAAATTAATTAACCAAAGAGTAATTTGGGAGGATTATTTTCCTCTTTTTCCCCTCACAGAGTGAATCTAATTTTTCTGAAGTCATAGGCCAGTTATATCTGAAGGCATTTTCATCTTCCCTGCCTACTAGAAAAGGAAAATTAAATAACACGATTTGACTCCAGCCCATCTTTCTCTTTAAAGGACATCTTGGACCCATAAATGGGTGGCTGAGGATCTGGGGAAAAACTTTCACAATCTACCAAATAGGATTATAAAAAACTCTTTCCAACTTTAAGTATCCAAGATTTATGCCCCTATGTGTAAGGATGTTAGTGTTGATAGATATCTCCACAATACTTTTGACTAAATATTACATCTCTTAATTTAATTACTTTCTCTTTCAAAAAGAACCCTCAGATAATTTTATCATGGAAAAATTTTGCAGTGCCATAACTTTGGTGTTTGGAGAGAAAATTTTTTTACTTCCTGAGAAAATAAATAAGCAAATTAACTCAAAATGTATTATGAAATAAATGTTTTAGAATAAGAAAGATGACAATATATTAATGATAACCTAGATCAATGGCATTGACCTTACCATTTAGTGAATTTGTTTCCTAGAGAGACCCAGGGAGACACTCTGATCACCCATCTTATTAATGAGTACTTGTTCTAGGTTTTGGAGCATAGGAAATAACTTTTTTTAAAAAAAGATTTTTTTTCCTAAAAGGGGAAAAAAAAACCTTAATTTAATAATAATTTTAAGGGGGGCCGAAGATTGAACCCAGTGCCTCACACATGCTAGGTAGGTACTCTACCACTAAGCCTCAACCCCAGTCCCAGGAAATAATTCTGAACCTGACTTTCACTTAAGAGTCTTGCTCATGAGGTTAATAGGGTTTCAGATATATTCTACTATCAAGGAGACTAAGAAAAATAGTATTTTCTACTTGAGCTAAATTATTATCTCCAAATTAGAAATCTAATTTGCTTAAACTAATTTTTTGCTAATTCTAATTTTTTAAAAAGTAGGGAAATAGCTTGGTGGGGTGGCACATGTCTGTAATCCCAGCGGCTCCTGAAGCTGAGGCTGAAGGATCGTGAGTTCACAGCCAGTCTCAGCAAAAGCAAGGTGCTAAGCAACTCAGTGAGACCCTGTCTCTAAATAAAATACAAAATAGGACTGGGGACGTGACTTAGTGATGGAGTGCCCCTGAGGTCAATCCCTCATACACCCCTCCTCAAAAAGTAAAGAACAGAATCAGGCTGGATTTACATGTTTTATCATTTTTTGAGTGTGAATGTGAGTGCTACATATAAAACCCAGGCCTCTCACACAAGCATCTACCACTGAGTGACACACCCAGCTCCCATTTTATACATTTTAAGTGATTGAACCCAAATAATATCAAAGAGTATCTAAGTTTGACAAAAACACAGAAACCAAAACTGTTTCACTTCTCCTAAAATTTGATGACTTCTTAATTCCACCAGCTAATATTTTAATTATGTTAGCAATAATTTCACAACCTCCTTATCAGTATTTTTAGGATGTTCCTCTTCTCTGTTACTAGACAGTTATATTGAATTTTATATTTCCATGTTATATATGTGAGAGAAGAAATATTTACTCAATATCTGCACTGGATAGAGGGTGAGATGAAGAAGTAGCTGAGAGGTAATGGGATCAACCTTAATAAATGCTCTGCTTTTTAAAAAGATTCAGAATATGTGTAAGCTCTTGCCTACTACATTTGTGGTCTGACTAGTGAAAGGGAAAAATTCCAGCAAAATGAGACCCATTTAAGATGTCTGGTAGGTCCTCGGTCTGTAAAAACACAGCCCACATAGAAACCTCTTCCCTACAGGAACCCCCTCTGTATTCATTTTTATACCAGTAGATTCATGGAGGCTTCATACTGGCCTTCAGAACTTCCCACCACACCAACTTGGCTTTAAAGTGGTTTAGTTCTATCATCACAGTACTATGCTTACGAACCGGGAATTTGGGTTCACATTCCTATTCTGCCTCTTACAATCTGTGTGATGTTGGTCATGGTATTTAATCTCTTTGAGACTTCATTTTCACAACTATGGAGCAAGGATGGAAGAATCTGTTTCAGAGAGTGGTTGGGAAGATTTATGTGTTAATGTCTGTTATGGCCATAGCATAGAGTAAGAGACCAAAAAATGATTGGTCGTGAGACAGTATTATTAATTCAATTTTCAAAATATGCCCATCCCTTTTCTGAAGAACAGGGGGTCAGACTGAAGTGAAAGAAAACCAGCAGCAGGCACAGCCTGTGTGTCAACTGAATCCACTTCACTGAGCAGCTGTGGGGCTGACTCAGAGTCTCTAGAAGCTTAACCCTTTGACTTTTATACTTCGTCTTGCATTTCACAAATAGTTTATGCCCTTCTGTTTTATAACAGGTGCCAACTTTTTTTCCTTATCTTGGTTAGCTCCAGACTTCTTGTCTTTCCTTTCCCCAGCTGGATCTAGAGTTTTCTTACCTCATCTCTCCAGTAGTCTGAGACAGGAATTATTTCAACATGTGAAGGATCACATTCCCACCATCTAGCTGGCTTTAAAGTTAATACAGACCTGAAATGCATCACATAATTACAGATGTTGAACACTAATATCACATATCCCCCCTCCCCGGGATTCTTCCAGAAAACAGTGATTCTTGCCTCCCCACTTTGAATTATAGCACCTCACAAATTCCCTTGATCTGGAGCTAACACTCTAAAAACTATGCTCTCCTTTTGGTTGAGAAGTCTTTGAATGCCTCACAAGCCATCCTGTTGTTCACTTTTAGGAATCCTGCCTGGATGCCCAATCCCAAACTGATAGCCCCACTGCTCTGCCATTTGCAGGCCCAACATCTTCTCTGAGCTTGAGTCCACCTGATCCCCAGGTGAAGGTCGGAGAGAGCCCTGACACTCACTGTATTCCTCTCAGAGAATCACTACCTGAATCCTTGAATCTTCTCTGCCCTAGTCAGTGGCCCAGCCCCTGTGTCATCAACGATCTCCAGGAGAATGCCAGGTCCCCCTCACTCTTCCCCAAGACAGCTTTGGTTTGTATCCACCTACTTTAGGGCCTGGCTTATTTGAAATAAAGCTGCCCTGCAAATTTAGCAGCCTTCAGAGCAAGCCATATACAGTGTCTCTCTTTTAGTACTACAGGGGCTGATGAGCCTCTTAGATCTATAGAACTGATGATGAGTTGGTCTCCATGAACTCCATGGAGCAGAGGAAAGGATGGGAAGCACTCCCCAACTGTTCTTCTCAATTGTAACACACTCCAGCTAATTAGATTATTTTCAAAGCTTCTTACTTCCAAGAAGTTCAAATGTCAGAAAGCCAGTAATTAAAAGTTACATGATGATGCTTTTCTGGTAACTTGCTTCATGGGGCTTTGTATCTTTTTTTCCTGATCATCAACTGATGCTTAGGGGCTTCCATCTGTTTCTGATTCCTTCCTGTGCTTTGAATATGTTATTAACACTCCCCAGCAGCTCATTGTGTGATCACCACTTGACCCATAAACAAGCTTGAAGCAAAGGCTTGGCCTCTACCCCTGATCTCCAGGCAGCTCTATGTGAGTCAAAAAAAAAAGCCCTCTGGCCCCATCTTCCACAACTGCATACTGTCTGAGGGCAAATGAGCATTCTAGGGGAAGAAGATTTAGTATTAAAGTTAACCTTTGAGATTTTGTTTATATCAGACCACAGACAAATCCGCTGCTAAGACTAGGTATTTAGTAAAACAATATAATCCCACTATGAGGACACTCAATATAATCACCCATGGTGACTCAGTTCATCACTATGATCCTTGCTTACTTTCAAGTTTTGTTTTGTTTTTTAATAGACTTCATTTTTTAGAGCACTTTTAAGTTCACAGAAAAATTGAGCAGAAAGTACAGAGATTTTTTTTACATACCTCTCCCCCAATAAACATCAATGTCAACCAGATTCTAGTTTACACTAAGGGTCATTCTTGGTATTGTATATTTTATGGGTCTGGACAAATTTATACTGACATATATTCCCCATTGTAGTGTTATACAGAATATCTCTCCCTGCCCTGCCAACTGCTGATCTTTTTATTGTCTCCTTAGTTTTGCATTTTCCAGAATGCTGTATAGATGTACTCATAGTATTTAGCTATTTCATATTGGTTCCTTCACTTAGTAATATACATTTAAGTTTCCTCTATGTCTTTTGGTGGCTCCGTAGCTCATTTCTTTTCAGCAATAATGTTCCATTTTCTTGATATGCCGCAATTTGCGCCCATCACCTACTGAAGGATATCTTGGTTGCTTTTGTGCTTTAGTGGTTAGAAATAAAAACTGCCATAAACTTTTAGGTTTTACTTTTATCTGCCACCTCATCCTACACATATAATAAATGGGCTAAGATTCTCTTGCAGCCACCCCAAAGTGCTGCTTTGAGATTCATTCCTGATGAATAATTTCATTTTGTGCATGGCAAATGGGAATACCACACCAATTCCTGAGCTTGATGGCCATCTGTAGATTTTGGATTTCCCTCTGTTTTTTCTTTACTAAGTAGCAGAGGATTGACTAAGATTAAGAGCATCATGAGATTTCCTGTGGTCTCAAATCTCCATGGGAGAATGTTGAAGTATCCTTGTTTGTATGACATCAGAGTCATTTTTCACAGACTTTGTCTTCAGGGCTTAAAGATACAACCTGGTGCTGACAGAATCAGGACAGAACAGGGTGGGGACTAATCCACCAGCCTTAGAGTACTGAGAATTCTCTTCCTCTCCTTTTCTCCTGTCTGGCTTATTAAAGTTTGTCCCTATAGCACATGACCTCAGATAGTATCAGGTTCCAGTTTTACAGGAACATTTTCTTCCTATTCACTTTTGGTTATGTGTTGTTAGTCACTCATTTTCATTAAGAAAATAAATTAATTTGTGTTTTTGAGACTCTATTTTGTATCATTTCAAACTCAGACAAAATCTGCTCCTATATTCCAGAGAACTGCCATATACTCTCCTCCTGAGTCTACAAAGCTTTAACATTTTGCTTTCTTTGCTTTAGCAACCATTTAAGAGTAGGTTGGAGTCTGGGGCTATAGCTCAGTGGTAGAGTGCCTGCCTAGCATGTGTGAGGCACTGGGTTCCATCCTCAGCACCACATATAAATAAAAAAGGAAGGAAGGAAGGAAGGAAGGAAGGAAGGAAAGAAGGAAGGAAGGAAGGAAGAAATTGTGGCCATCTACAACTAAAAATAAAAATAAAATAAAAGAGTAGGTTGCAAACAACAAGCCTTTACACTATGTATTTATAAAACCAAACATATTCAGCAACAGAGCTAAAGAATGATTACAAAATTTGAGAAGTTTAATGCTGATACAATATTTTCAACTAACTTTCAGTTCATATGATGATTTCTCCAATTGCTCCTATAGTGTCCTTAACAGCTCTGGATCAGGATTGAATTTTGGATCCCTTCTTGCATTTAGTGTCATGCCTCTTTCCCCCTCTTTAATCTAGGCCAGTTTCTAAATCCACCTGAAAGTTTTCTTTCTTTGAAAATTGACAAATTGAAAGCAAGTGAGTCTTTATCCCTAAACAGCTTCCTGTGCCGCCAGTTCACAGGAAGAACTTAAATGTCTCTCGAGATGATTACCCAGGTATACAAATTAGCATCCTCTCTCCCTGACCCCAGAATATTCTACCAGCATGCAGACCAGGATCACATTTAGCTAGACTGAACATGTCCCAAACTACTATAGTCACATCCCCTCTGGACTCAGAGGGCAATCTACAATCTAAATAGTGAGATTTATGAGTCATTTGTTAATAGGACTAGATGTTATTCTCAAAAGTGCAGGTATCTTTTATGTTCCATTCCCTTCAGGTAATCTGGGCTGTGGTGATATTTATAGACCAAGATAAATAATACCAGAACTCTGCAAAGCCAGAATAATAGCAGCCCCCTGTTAGAATTGGTGCAACTTTTGAGCCAGGTGTGGTGGTGCGCACCAAGTGTGGTGGTAGTAGAATCCCAACTATTAAGAATTATAGCTACTATAGAATTCCAGCTATTCAGGAGACCAAGGCAGGAGGATCACAAGTTCAAGGCCAGCCTAGGCAATTTAGCAAGATCAGTCTCAAAATAAAAAATAAAAAGGGGCTGAAGATGTACAGCACCCCCGGGCCCCATTCCTAGTACTGAAAAAAAAATGATGTAGTTTGCAACTGTGTGGTTTACAACTGAGTGTTGATTTTCTTCAACCAGATTAGCTCCTACTACCAAGGCCAATTATAAACAGAACCGGGCTATACTTCTGACAGAGATTCATCAACAAAGGAAAATTGTTTCTGGAAAATATTATCTTCAAAATAATATTTCTTACAGAAAAATTAAGAATCTCTTAAAAATCCGTTCCTTTCTGTTTTAAACTTGAGTGAATTTTGAGCTGTCAAGGATATGAACAAATGCTCTGAATCTTTACCTCTCAAGAGGAAATTCCTTTTGAAATCTGGTACTTATTTATTTTTAAGAGAATGTAAACAGGGCTTCTTCCTCCCCTCCCCATAGAGAGGAAAAGAACAATTTTCCTGTCATATTGAAACATTGGTTTGATGCTACCCATCAGCCTGCCACGCAAGTAAAAATATTTTGTTGTGTTTTACCTCCACAGTCTCCCCTGGCACAACTGTAACCATGTTTGTCAGTCAGCTGATGTACTCCTTTGAGGTCACTGGGCTTGACTATAACTTTGGTTCTCATTTTCTCAGAGCTTCCTTTCAGTGCTGTGGAAGCAAGCTGCAATTTTGAGGAAGATCTCTGCAACTTTTACCAAGATAAAGAAGGTCCAGGTTGGACCCGAGTGAAAGTAAAGCCAAACGTGTATCGGGCTGGAGATCACACTACAGGCTTTGGTAAGTTGGGAGTCTCACATGGGACATCTTGATGTGGTGTTCATGCATCATTGCCATTTTTACTCCTTACCTATGTCAAAATCGAAAGAAAGAGAAGGAGAGAGAAAGCAAGCAAGCTGGCAGGCAGGCAGGCAGGCAGGCATCTCTGAGAAAGTAATCAGTAATGTTGTGTTTGACCATTTTTTAAAATTATAATTCAAGGGCTGGGGATGTGGCTCAAGCAGTAGCGCGCTTGCCTGGCATGCGTGCGGCCCGGGTTCAATCCTCAGCACCACATACCAACAAAGATGTTGTGTCTGCCGAGAACTAAAAAATAAACATTAAAATTATAATTCAAGTTGGCTATACAAGCAAAAGTATCTGCCTATTAATTAAATAGTCAAGCCTTTGAAAATTATTTTGCTGTTCACTTTAGATGAAATACCCTTTCAAACTTATTGGATTCTGTTTATATGAATTCTCCAGAATAGATACATAGAGACAGAAGGCAGATTAGTGGTTGCCAGGGACTGGAGTGGGAGGAACTAAGGAGTGACTGTTTAATGGATACAGGGTTTGCTTTGGGGGTGATGAAATTGTTGTGGAACAAGATAGTTGTGATGGTTGTACAGTATTGTGAATGTGCTGAATTGTGCACTTTAAATTGTTAAGATTGTAATTGTATGTTATATATTTTATGTTGTGTGTAAAAATATATATCATGGGAAGAAAAGATGCTACTAAACAATGGGTGTGATCTATGAGGAGCTCTTAGAAACCAGTTTTAGCACCTTGTATATGGATTTATATTACTTTAATGACATCCTTTGTGGATCTCACCCCAGGAGAGACTGGTAGAAATAATTTCATCGCAAGGCACACACTGTCTCATTCATTTATTCATTAGGTATTTGTATCCTGGTGAATTTACTCTGATGCCAATAAAACTGAAGTTACAGGTCTCCTCACTTGCACAGGCCCTGAGAAAGGGCTTAGAAGGGGCCATCATAACATTGAACCTGTTATTTGATATTATTCTTTTCTTAGAGATTTCCCAATTTGTAGAAATGCAGGCCCTAGAAAAACTATTCTGACCTGACCACATGAATGCCCAGAATATACAGTAATGGTGAGTCAGATATGAATCCTCCTCTTGCTGGCTGACAATCATTTGAATGGATAAGCGAAATGTTAGAAAAATGTGTACACAATACACTTCTCAGGAAGAAAATTATTCCTGCCGGGTAGGAAATCTTCCTTTCCACCCTAGTTTCTGTGGCTGGAGCTGAGAATTACACTGACATAAGACATATAACAGGAGAAAAACATACACATTTTATTTAGTATGTTTACATGTACACAGAAGTCTTCATAAGAAAAATTGAAGAATTAAAGAAACACATAGGCCTGAGAGCTTATTTATCAATTTTAATGAAGAATGATTAAACTGTGCAGAAGTGACAAGACAAAGGAAAAGGGTTGAAGCTTCCAGAGATTCTAAATTATGGGAAAGTGACTAGGACATAAGTGGGGGAAAGTAATGGAAGATAAGGGTTATTTTAGTAGGTTTGTTTGTACAAATCCACTTTAATATCATCTCCCAATAGAAAAAATATTAACTCCCAGTCCCTGGTGATTAGAATACTCTCCCCTTCCTGGAACAGGGTGCTGGGAAAACACCTTGTTCATGGGAAGTTTTATGACATGATTTTAGGTGGAAAGAGGGAGGGCAGAGAGCCCTGCTGTCGCAGGGTCAAAGGTGTGATTTATGCAGTCCAGGGGGAGAAATAAAAAAATGTCCACGCACTTCTGCCCTACTCAATGCTTTTTTCACCTAAATCACTCAATGCAATTTCACTCTATAGGTTCTTAATCAAGGAAATGACAATCCTTAATGCTAGGCACTGCAATAGACATAACCAACTCACAGCAAACAATTCTAGATTAACTCTAAGCACTGCAAACACACTTAATCATGACAGGCTAATTGACAGACATTCCCTCTGCATGCTAAGTGACTTGTTTGTGCCTGTCAGATCAAAAGTCTCAAGCTTTTAGGCTTAAAGTCCAGCAGATGCACACTCAGACCAGGAACAGGTCTGATCAGGTCAGGAACCAAGGCAGGCTTCTCCTGGGAGGGTTGTAGGGAGAAGTTGCAGCTCTCAGGATAAAGATGTGGCTATAGAGTCTGAGAGGTGAGGAAAATGCAGAGGATCACAAACAATGAAAAGCATTGGGACGTCAGTCCAGGTCCTCAACAGGCTCTCAGCACAAGGGCATCATTGTCAATTGGCTGAATGTCTGTTCATTTTTTCCAATATTTATATCAAATTTTGGGGCTTTTGACCCCTCTTTTAATCCTTATCAGTTGCCACCAGGTCTCTCAGTGACATCATTTACCCTGGGGTTAAAACATCTGGTCTGGTGGTCCCCACACTGATCTTTTCACCTTTTCTTCTATCGGGTAAGGATAACCTGCCAGAGGCTTCACTCTTGAGTTTATCAGGGTAGGGAGAAGTGACTTGTTTGTGCCTGAGGGCCATACTGGAGGGCTCCACTAGGCTTGGCTGGTGAAACTGCAGGTTTCAAACTGGAGTTTTAAAATGGCTCAGGCTAAGTCCATCCTTACACTTTCTGCCTCTGCTGTTTCTCAAGTATTCTTCAACTCAAAATAATCAGCACTCCAAAGAGGCTCATCTGGCAGCAACACATCTGATCCCCTTCAGTGAATATGAGAATCCAGAGAGGAACCTGACTTGGCTTGGGGATTCAGGGAAGGTTTCTCTGAGGGAAGTTGCAATTAGCTGAAAGAGTGTGAGTAACCAAACAGAGGAGAAGTGTCTGTAAAGGCTTTGAAAAGAGCTGATCACACCAACACATAGGAAGGTTAGCATAACTGTACCATGGGGAAGTGGTGATGAGAGTGGAGGACATGAAGTTATTGAGGGAGATAGGTTATGGACGCAGCAGACCAGAGTAAGTGCTGGGGATTTGATCATAAAGAAAATGAGAATGTAATGCCAGATTTGTGGGACCCCAGTAGACCTCCAGGAGCTGAATCGATGCAATCACACAAGAGTCTTTATTGCAAGCTTGAGCCTGGACTCACAACCGTTTCTGATGCAGTGGTCCCGAGGAGTGAGTCCTGGTCCTTTGTTCAGTGAGATTTTATAGGTTTTGGGGGGATACTCTATGCATCATTTCACACCACAGGAAAATGAAACAACAACTCTTAACATTGATTAGCTCATTCACTGGCGGGAACAAGTTGTGTAAGGGTGATTGGTTAGTACAAGAGGGGGATTGGTTTGAACTGATTGGTTTAATCCATGAGGGGTGTACACGCTAAACTACATGGTTTCTTACATGTTATCAACCACCCAGACTACTGGGGGGTCATCTGGCATCCCAGGTATTCTCCCTGTCTCATGCTGATTGGTGGTGGCTAGGGGGTTCCTATGGGTCCTCACCTAGCCTAACTGAGTCAGGGACACCATCTCTCCTGTTATTTACAGACAAACAACTCAGCAGGTAGCTATCTGCCCAGGAGTGCTCTGTGGGTTTTTCCAAGGACAAGGGTCATGCTCCCTCCCTCTGAACAGGCCTTGAGTTAGAAGCTATTTTCAAAAATGGAGTCACATCAGTTTCTCAAGAAGCCATTGAAAGATTTTGAGCAGAGAAGATAAGGATTAAACTTAGGATTCTTAAAGGTTGTTCTGGCTCTTGAGTGGCCACCATATTAATCTGCTCCGGCTGCAGTCACGGAAGAAATGCATTGTCTCACGGCTCTGCTAGCTAGTTGAAGGCCTAGGTGCCGCAGGGTTGGTTTCTGGAGAGGCCTCTCTTCCTGGCTTGCAGGCAGCCTCTTTCTCACTGAGCCCTCACATGTCCTTAAGAGGAAAGAGAGTGAGCTTTGGTGTCTCTTCCTCATCTTATAAAGTGAGTTAAATAACTGGTTAGAACTAAACTGTAGAACAAACACTGAGGTGCCCAGAAAGAAAAAATAAATAAAAACAGGAGGATGAGCAGAAAAGGGAATAAAAACTAATGTGTTGATTTTTTTTTTCTTTTCTGCCCTGGCTTTCTAGGATACATAGACCTATTTTAAGTTGACTTTGTGGGTGGAAGGACAGGTGGGAGGGAGAGGTTCCTGTCCTTCTTTATGTTATTTAGAAAAAATAAGGGAAGAACATAGATCTTCAGCACCCTCTGATTGGAAACCTATTCTTTGGGGACAGGTTTAAACATGATCAGAAGAGGAGTAGGGTCTATCTAGACACACAAATGCCACAAAGCCTGTCAGACCAGCTAGCCATACTTTCCAGCCCTACTGGTTACTGCAAAGAGAGGAAGGAAAAGTAAACTCTGGGCCTTCCATTCACCCTGACCTGGTACTATGTATACCACCTAAGTCAGCCCATTCACACAGGCAGCTCTTAGCCCCAAGCTGACTTCATCCCTTTCATTTTATGAAAAGTGTTACTCTTAACTGATGACTAGAATCTGGGCCTATGAAGTAAGAAATCTATACTAGTTCATGAAAATGACTTAGGATTGCAGAAAGTTTCATTTGCAATGGAGGCACATGGATGTTTTTTTAATCACTTAAAAATCCCTTCTTGGGGCTGTGGTTATGGCTCAGCTGTAGAGCCCTGATCTAGCATGTGGGAGACCCTGGGTTTGATCCTCAGCACCACATAAAAATAAATAAATAAAATAAAGGTATTGTGTCCAACTGCGTCTAAAAATTAAGTATTTTTTAAACCTTTCTTGCATTTGTAGCCCATGGGAATAGTTTCTGCTGGTAAATCCCACTACCTTTAGCCACATTTGCCACTTGATAATCTGGGGTAGATTATTTTGCCTTGCTGTTACACTAAATGCTTTGTCTTGTTGACAGGATATTACTTGCTGGCCAACACAAAGTTTACTTCTCAGCCTGGCTACATTGGAAGGCTTTATGGTCCCTCCTTACCTGGAAACTTACAGTATTGCCTACGTTTTTATTATGCCATCTATGGGTTTTTGAAAATGAGTGACACCTTAGCAGTTTATATCTTTGAAGAAAATCATGTAGTTCAAGAGAAGATTTGGTCCCTGCTTGAGTCCCCAAGAGGTGTTTGGATGCAAGCTGAAATCACCTTTAAGAAGCCCATGCCTACCAAGGTACAGTAGAACCGATACATCTTTTTTCCATTTGCAATTGTTGGACTGGACTAGTGAATTCCTGTTTAGTCACTGTCGGCTGGTAATGTGTTATGTCCCTTATATTTAGGCTCTCAGCCTTGCCCCCACACACTACTCAAGCCATGTACAAGTTATTCCTTCAGTTCTTTTTCAATCTGGGTCTCCAGATCATGACTATCCAGGGAGTTTGGTTATTTTTCATTTAAGGTCTCCTGTAGATTGTCCTCGGACTATAGAATATGAAAACATTCCCCTCTCCGCCCCCTCTCTCTCTCTCTCATACACACAAACACACACACACACACACACACACACACACACGATAAGAATGTTAGGATTCAAAAACAGATGAAATCACTGAGCCTGGTCCAGCGTTAAATCTTTAAGGTCAACAACTGAGAACAGGATGTATGCTCAAAGTATAGATCCAATCCTGCCCCAGTCAGAGAATTTACATGAGGGATTCATCATGTAAATTCTGAAAGCAACGAGAATACAAAACACCTTTATTGCAGGGGAAAGGCAAAAAAAAAAAAAAAAAAAAAAAAAGCCTAATCTCCTAGGCTTCCCAACTCATAAACTTAAGAAAATTTTACAGATATAATAAATTCTGTCAACTATAACCAGAAATGAAACTAGTGTGGAAAGATCCATTTTGTTTCAGTCTATCAATTAATCAACAAATATTTCTTGAGTATCCTCCTGTGCAAGATAAGGGTCCACAGAAACGTGAAAAAGGTCCTTTTCTCCAAACAGATGATTGGTACAATAGGAGTTATGAATGAATTAATGAATCAGTTGATCACATTCATTGTCCAGGAAACGATCAAAGTCCAGGCTCCCTAGGAAAAGTTTCAAACCTGGGAAAGTAGGAGAACATCTTCACAAATCTTTGTAGCCTGAACTTCTCTTAGTTACAACCACCTGGATAGAATCATAGCTGTGTCCATCTAGAACTTCTTGTTAAAGAAATGTCATACATGGGGTTGGGGCTATAGCTCAATGGTAGAGTGCCTGCCTTGCATCCATGAGGCACTGGGTTCAATCCTCAGAACCAACCACATAAAAATAAATAAATAAAGATATTGTGTCCATCTACAACTAAAAAATATTAAAAGATAAAAGGAAAAAGAAATGTTGTACATCATTCCTGTTACAGTGTTGCTTTGTTACTTTTAATCCATTGGATCATCCACCAGGGCATAATTAAATCTTTAAAATGATTAATCAGATCTCTAAAAATCCCTGCAAAATTATTTTCCATTTCTAGACAAGAATGGTGTGGCAGGCTCCATGGCCTATTGACTTCTTTCTTTCTTTCTTTCTTTTCTTTTTTTTTTTTTTTTTTTTTTTGTGGTGCTGGGGATTGTGCATGCAAGGTGGCCTACTGATTTCTAAAGAGTTGAACAAATTTATAATACCAGAATAGAAGCATACAAGTTTCTGCCTCAATCTAACAGGCACTGCTTGTTGTTATTTTGTGCTAATTAAATAGGTAGTATTATGATAGGTATCCCTTTCTTAATTTCATATATGATTACCGGATTTAACTGAAATATTGGGTTCAGCTCTTCAGGCCAAAGAGGAAGCAAATTGGTGTTTCTGTGTAGTTATCACTTGTAACATAGGCTCATGATTATTAAGCTTATTGCCTGGGCAATTCCAAATATGTTCTCAATAGGAAATGTCATCTGACACTTGCAGCATTATTGAACTTCCTCTTTGATCTATTGGTCCCTGGAGAAGTCTGGGTTTCTCTGTATCATAGAGGGATCCCAAAGACTTAATTTGCCACTACCAATTATTTAACATATTCAGCAACACATACACATGCACATACATACATGAACAGGCATGTGCCAGATTCACGTAATTAGGGATGCACCAGAAAGGATGGAATTTTTTTTTTTTTATGTTCCACACTATTTTAGTTAGCTTTTGCAACACTGTGACCAAAATACCAGATAAGAATAATTTAAGGGAGGGAAAGTTTATTTGGGGCTCATGATTTCAGACTCCCAAAGCACAGATGGCCAACTCTTTTCCTCTGGGCCTAAGGTGAGGCAGCACATCATGCAGGAAAGGCCCAACAGAGGAAATCTGCTCAGCTCCTGATGTTATGCTCGAATTCGGGACCCCCCAAAAGACCTCCAGAGACCCAGATCGATGTAAGCAGCAAAGAGGTGTTTATTTCGAGCTAACTCGGTCCTTCGCGCACACACAGCAACTGGTGACACTGAGAGGCCCTGAGCCCAGGGTTTGCAGCAGTTTTATACATTCTTTGGAGGAGGCAGGGACCCCCACATACATCATAGCATCTCTTAGCAAATCATCACACACCATGGGAAAATCAAATAACAACTCTAAAACATGAGTAGCATATCAAGTGGTGGGAAAGAATCTGGAAAGGATTATTTGTTAGTTCAAGGGGTTGACACACTTAAAATTGATTGGCTTAAACTGTGAGGGTGTCACAAGGGGGGTAAGTGCCAAGCTGCAGGGCTTCTAGTTTAGATATTGGTCACCACACCTAGGTGGGGGCCATCTGGAATTTCAGATATTTCATATCTTGGCCTATCTTAGGTGATCACCATCTGTGGCTTTTCTGAGAACTGTTTCCACAGAGCTTTTCTGTGGTATTTTCCTGACTTTAGGACTGCAGTAGGTCAGAGGTTAAGTTTCAGAGTAAAATGAGGTTCCAAGTAGAATGAGGTTGCTTAGGTCTTTCAATGACAGGGTCAGGAAGGAGAGAGAGAGAGAAAGAGAGAAGGGGGGCCCTACAGGGAAGAACAAGCCCACCCTGCCACCCCACACACACACCCCCACCCCACTCACACCCCTACTCTCCCCAACCCCTATGATTCACCTCCTCCAGCTGCACCACCTACTACAGTTACTACCCAGTCATTCAAACTAGGATGGATTAGGTTACAACTCTCACAATCCTCTGAGCTCTCACAATCCAACCACTTTACCTCTGAACATTCCTGCATTGAACCTCGAGCTTTGAGGTGACACTTCATATCCAAACCATAACAAAAACCTGGTTTGCCGAATTTTTTTTAAAAAAAAGGATATAATAAGTGTTTTGTTCATTCATTTGGCTTTCAGGTTTTCATTCATTTATCCATTCACTTATTTATTTCTTATTCAGGTACCATGTGCTGGGTATATGCTCAGTGCAAGGGATATAAAGAATAAGGTTCAGATTCTATCCTTAAGAAGGAGATCACAGGTAATAGGAGATTAATATAAGCAACTAACTATAGTGCAGCTGTCACTGTCCCATGAAAGAACTGCACAGGAAAATAGAGGAATAGGTCGGATAATGGTTATAAAAAATAATGACAACTCTTAATTATAGTGCACTAGTAAATAATATTAAAAAATAACAATGATAACTAGAGACCCAGCTGAGCTAATGTTTGTAAGATTAAGGTTCAGACTTTGCTGGATTCTAACTCCTGCTCTTCACCCTACTCCTCTCCCCCTACACTCTGTTGGCAAACACTTGGATTATTTAGGAATCTGCTCATTCCCTGCTCCTTCCTGACTCCCACAGAATTGGAGCAAACCTCCCAGTATATAAGGGTGTCCAGAAAATGTGTCCTTTTGTCTGCTCACAAGTCTCCAGCAACAGCACTGTTCCTCCCCAGAGACAGGGAGTGATGGATCCAGACCCAGCGGGGCAGGGAAGTTCTAAGAGCCCTGAGGAAGAGCTAGTCATGGATTCAGCTCCATGCACATGAGGAGAGGATACAATTCAATACCACAAACCTCTGGATACATGTCTGAGGGTGGCCTGTAGTTCTTTGCAGATCCCTGATAAAGAGTGAGAGAACCACTTGTCCCTGATAGAGGCATGTATTAAGTCAGGAGGAAACTAAGTCCACTAAAGTCCACTTTAGTGTCAAACTACAACTAAAAAGGTATTTTAAAACATATACAGATGGAAATGAACATATAAAAACTATTTAAGATGAGAGCTGGGGTTGTGGCTCAGTAGCAGAGCGCTTGCTTCACACATGTGAGGCCCTGGGTTCGATCCTCAGCACCACATAAAAATAGGGAAACTAAATAAAGATATTGTGCCCATCTATAACTAAAAATTTTAAAAATATATTTTCTAAATAAGCTATTTCAGATGAAAGAGAAAATGAAAATTGAGAGTTTTCATCCCTACTCCCTATTGCTGAATTCAAACTCCAATTCCGGGTCTTGTTTTTCTCTTCTTATTTTTTTTTTTTTCCCTGATTCTCCCCCTCCCTAGCTCCAGTGTCCTGTTCTCTGCATTTAATCACCCTGAACAATCAGTTCCTGGAACATACTCAGCTCTTTCTAGCTTGAGTCGTTGCACACACTGTTGCCTCTGCCTAGACTCTTCTTACTTATGTCTCAGCTTAAACCTCAAATCTCAATTCCTCAGAGAATCTTTCTCTGACACCACTCCCGGGAACAGATAAGGGTTTCCTGTGCACCCTGTACTTCTCCTTCATCCTCCTGAAGAAAGCATAGACACAATGTCTCTGATTTCAAATCCTGATTCTACCACTTACTAGCTTTACAATCACAAATCAGCTTTCTTAATTTCTTTCTTCCTATTCCATCCAGAACCTAAAATCTAGCAAACTCCTGGCACACAGTTGATGCTCAATGGCTGTTATTGACTGCCACATTCTGACTTTTGAATAGGGGTTATGGACTCTCATTAAAACCCCCTGGGGAGCTCTTCAAGTGCTAACATTTTATCCCCAATGAAGGAAAGAAAATGCAGAGATGAAGATTAGCCTGCAGGAAGTCTGTGAGGCCATCCTCCGGGAATCACTACAGAAGGAAGGGAAAGGAAAGAAGCAGAACAAGGCAAAGCAGGCTTTGGACCTGTCAGTGGAGGTCTCAGTTGACCTACAGTGACTCCGAAGCTCTGTGCCCTTTCTCAGTTGTCCCTGGTTGAGCAGTCCTGTCTTCAGTGACATGCATCC